GATATCAATAACTCCTCAAGCCCAAAAATTGACGAGAGCCTGATTCCACCGTGTTGTGACACATATGAGGGCTAAGTTATCAGCGGCCATAAATTCCTGGTGAAGAAAAAGCGAAAGAGCGTTCTTCACGTCACTTTTAATAGCGTCAACAAGCTCACAAATCAAAATTTCCTTTTTGGGAGTCTCGCAATCTCTCTCAAGATCCTTCGAATCAGGAGGTGGCAAAAAGGAGGGAAAGAGGCAGGGAGGGGGTGGAGGTTGATATATTATTTTTATAATCATGAAGGGTTTTATTACGAAACGCGTTTTATACCAAATCTGAGTGCTTCCCAAACCCCTTGTCCAGTCAATTATAATTTTAAGATATGAATTGTCGTGATATTATTTTTTTACCCTCAAAATGTACAGATTTTCTTGAATTTTAGCACAGAGAAAAATGAGTTTTGTTTCTCTTTTTTTCCGTCTGTACATTCGTTCTCTTTGTCCATTTTCACAACTTTTGTAGTACATGAATGTCGTGCGTTGTGGCATATTGCGGTAGGGTGGCCAGTTCCTTCCCACGCCGCTTTACTTCCCCAACTAGGAGTCAGGTACCCATTACTGCTGGGTGGGCAAGAGGGTACGAAATAAACCCGTTTCCGAACCGAGGCTCGAACCCTGACTTTCCACTTCGGAGACGAGCGCACTAACAACCCCGCCACCGCAGCCTCATACGAGAATAATGTGTTGCAATTAAGATCTCGCACTCTTGGTTCGTGGATGAGTGTTTAGTATAGCTAATTAGATGATAACTATTTTTAGAGATCTTGAGCAAGATTATTTGTCAGGTTATTTTAGTAGCTTTGAATATCTTCCCAAAATAAACGTTCTAACAAAAAGCTGAAATAATGCTAAGTGACCATAGACACCCACTGACATCGGAATTTCAATTATCGACCTGCAGTAAACAATACATTTCCAGAAAAGCAAGAACAGACAGATATAAAAAAATCCATCGTACTGACTGCAGAGAGAGAGAAAGAGAGAGAGAGAGAGAGAGAGAGAGAGAGAGAGAGAGAGAGAGAGAGAGAAAGAGAGAGAGAGAGAGAGAGAACATTTTACGGAGCGGTTTGTTTCAGCACGTGAGACGTATATATGTCTTGTCTTGTTGTTGAAATACGTGAGTGCACCTAACCTTTGTAAATCCACTGCCATAGCAATCGACAGAAACAAATTTCTGCTTGCGAGATGAATAAAGATTGTCATTGTCATGGTCATTGTCATTGTCAGAACTGTGGGTTTAAAAAGCAAACGAAATGT